ATGGGAAAGAAGGCCGGCAAGAAAAGGCTTTTGTCATAACAGAAAGAAAAGAAGGGGAGGCCGAAGGGCCCGTCAACGGGCAATAAAAAGAAAGCTTGCCCAAACACCAAAGCAGCCCCCATAAATGGGTTCCAAAAGAGCACGAAGAATCTGTTGTAACAGTTAACATGGTGGGTAAGGCGGAAAAAGAAGGGCAAAATGGTCCCCGAAATAGATTCCGACATCCCTCTTGCTCAGTTGTTTGAAACTGAATCTCGGCGAACGCGAGCGAGGGCTTTAGGGCTTAACTAAGTATTAGTTGAGGGCGAGGTTGGAAAAACAAGGCCAAGGATTTTAAGTGTCACGAGCAACATCGGTTGTCATATATGACAATCCCGGAGGCCAAACAGAACCCGGTGATGACCCGTCTTCCGATGAGTCCGAAGACTTGGCACGTACCGTCTCATCAGAAGTGTAAAGAACAGAACACGTCCTTGTAACCAACGAGGACGAAATACCCCTAAAGAAGCCACAGCCAAACTCAACAAAAGTACCGAAGAAAGGCTAGATAAGATGATGGAGATTAGAGAAGCTATGCGAGCTCTTATTTGTTCAAAAGACAAGGCAGAACAAGGAGATCCCCAAGGTCAGAAAAATTGGCGAAACCAGTAATCCACAGAAGAACATGACCGAGGGGCAGTCCTCGCGACACGAGGAGATACGCCAATCTGAAGATGATCAAGTAGCTTTACTAATAGGGCGGAGGGATCTTCGACAGACTCTCTCTCAATTGAATGAAGAAAGTTAAATGAAGCAAAAAGGGATTGTCGCGCCATACCCCTTTACATGGAAAGGCCTTTCCCCCCCAAGTTCAAACAACCCAACCTGAAGTCTTTTGACGGGAGAGGGGCCCCTAGGCAGCATATTTGTAATTTTAAGGCATTTACTGGGGGCATTGCCGGAAACGACGCTTTGATGATACGTCTTTTCGTAAGCACCCTCTGCGAGACTGCATTCGATTGGTATGCCAGGTTGCCTGCTGGAACCATAAACTCGTGGGCGGATGAGGACGAAAAATCCACCACAGGCCAGCTGTGTGCCACTAAGCAAGCGCACAATGATTCAGTCGATTCCTTGGATGGAGAGCGTTGGCAGTAAAATGCCCAGAGCCACACTCCCACGAGAGTCTGACTGACATGTGTCGAATGAATTTTAACTTTAAGCCACGCCTGAAGCTGGTGTGGGCTTGAAGCTTAAAACACTGGGGGAGCTCTTAGCCATTGCCACGGAAACAGAGGCTGCCCTCAAAGATCATGAAAAAGAGAAGGGTGGTCGTAGATCAGAAGAGGCGAGTCTTCTAAAACAAAAAATAAAGAATCAATGGCGATACAAATCGCTGGACAGGAAAAAGCCCAACGCCCCTGCGCAAAAGAACGAAAACGGGGATGAAAAGAAGCAGGCAAAGAAAATCTCTCTCAAAGAACGACTCTCTAAAGTTGGGGATTTCGATGAAAGCAAGGTAGACGCCATCTTTTGACATGTTGATCGCTAACGGTCAGCTGACTCTACTCTACCTCCGTGTAAGCGACCCGCCGAGATCGAGAAAGTTGATGATTCCAACTACTGCCGGTTCCACAGGTTGTGGGACATACACTAAGACAGTGTTTTGTCTTTAAAGAGCTGGCGCAAGAAGGTTTGGAGCACTGCAACCAGTCTCTATACCCGTCGAAGAGATGGATCCTCTGGACACCGAAGTTCGGGTCATCCCTGATTACTCAGAAGAGATACCGCGGGGGTTGGTAGCCGTCAATAGCCCAGATGGAGATATAATGTGGGGAGACCCCGATCTCAATGAGGATGACGATTGGGAAGTGGTTACCCCAAAGAATTAAGGTAAGGGTTCCGGTCACCCTTGCGGACCACCTGAAATCCAAGAGAGCAACAAAACCACTTCTCAGATGAAGACCAAGAGGTTTCATCATGCAACATGATAACGGTGGGCCCCGCTTTGGCAAAGAAAGAAGAAAGGCTAACTTCCCTTCTTCCTCTCCCTCTCCCTCTCCTATGGTCGAGTGAGTCCCTACCTATGGTCGAGCAAGTAAACTACCTGTTCTAGAGCCGAGAGAAGAATGCACACTGCCTACCCTCAGTGGTAAACCTTACCAAGACTAGTTGCCTCAACGAATTGATATGCTTTTGCTTTTTGTGACACCGGCGAATGCTGAATACGGAGGAATACAATGAAATCAGAACAAAGTAGACCAAGCAAGCTTACAGAATTCGGGGAATTAGAACTCAGAATAAGCTCTTTTGACCAAAATAGAGTTGCTTGAAGATTGCGAGATTGGCGATAGCAATGCTTATTAAAGATAAGGGGAAAGCTTCTCTCGAATGTATGAAGAGACACCCGAAGGCATCTTTTCAGAAGCATTTCCTACCCTGTTGAAAACTCTTATGTGTTCAGTGGGTTGTCGCCCATAATCTAGTTTTAGCCCGAAAATTATCATCTTATTCTTAGCGCAATCGTCGCCCCTTAAGGGTATGAAAGAAAATTTTAACAAAGAGAGTTCATTTTCTTACAGTGTTTCCTCTGCAACATCCAGTGTAATAATTAAAGATTATAAACTTATTTCACCAAATATGGGTTCCTTCACAGTAATAGGAGAATGTTCTTCTTGTTCTAAAAGACAAACCACAGGAAACAGTCTTCAGTCGGTGTATGTCGAATATCTTTCCTTCCTTTCCCTTCGTCTATTCTCGTCTCGAGAGGTCTTGACGATACCCTTCTGGAGAACTGCCTAGGCCCAGTCACAGGATCATATGAGAACGTCGTGCGGATGCTCAGGTGCCGTAGGCTGGCTGGTAAAAGAACCGGGAAGTAGAATGACCGACTCCGCCGTCACTGACTTTTCTTTCTCTCTCTAGGCCGTGTGACAGTCTGTCTTCCTTGTTAAGCAGTCCCGAAGGCGGCCTCTTTGTGGGGCGAATAGGCTTAGTCGTCTTGTTGCTAGCTTGATGGCTGTGACGAAAGAGCAGGTGCTATTTAGCCCTCCGATTCATCAAACCGCAACACTTGATGTTGCACCTCTTGCTGCTTGCACCGTTCACTACGTTCACTCACTCCTTCAGGAACATAAGAGATCAAATTCGTTCATCAGTTGGTCTGTTGTTATCCCCAAGAGCTATGCACTACGCCTAGCCTTCGGGGGGAAGGAAAGGGGGTATTTTAGACTGTAGCCTACTGTTTAAGGCGAGTTCGGCGAAGGATACTATACTAGCCAGACCGAACGGAGGGTTATATAACTCAAGCCTACTGCGGGCACGGGACGGAAGGATTATAGAATACTCCAATTACTGGCGGGACTTGCGAGGGGCGTGCCTGTCGATCCGGATGGCTGGCTGGTCAGGCCGAGCCAACGGTGCAACTCGATGATTTGTGGTCTTGGGACTGGAGTTCCTTCGCAGGGCGAGGGCAGTGCCCCCACCCCGCCTGAATTCCTTTTGCATTATGGATGACAAGGCGCCTTGTATGTGCCGGTTGTGAAGGCAAAGTAGGAGCTAGTATAATGGTTTCCACCATGCTGCTAAAGAAAGGCTTGCGCAAGGGCTAGGAAACGTATCTGTCTGCCTTGGTGGTACAGGAGGGTCCGAGCCATAAATAAGGTCTAAGGGGAAGAAGGGTGAGGTTAATAAATGTTCCAGCTACCTTTGTTTGCATATGGATTCGCATGGATTGCGCGGAACTAGAGAAAGATGCTGCCTCTAGAGATGAGATTCCAAAGATTCGATCCGAAGCTCTCTCTATTGACTCCTCCTTCCCGGGCATAGAAGATCAGATCAACGAGTTCTGGTGTAAGCCCTTCCTTCTTCCCTAATCCAAGTAATGGCAATACAAGGCAGAGTACCGCCTAGCTTCGGATGCTAGTTCAGAACTTTTGATAGAAGGTTTCCCGGTTGCATTGGTTAGTAGATCCCCATTAGTAGGAGGTGTTGATTCATCCTGCCTTTCTCCAGTTGCTGGCTGGTTTGGGTCTAGGCAGAGAAAGACAGATTTACAGTTCTGTGCCCAAGGAGAGAGATTAACTACGGAGACTAAGCTGCCTCCTCACCACGAGGATTTGATCCATCTTTCATACTGACACCCGGATATACTATATTTACTAAACTACTTGAGCCCGCACCGATGTTCGTTCATCACAGCGATCCGGGATCAGAAAAGGTTTGAAAGACAGAATGCTTCCTTTGCTCGTCATTGATCGAATGAACTGCTATTCCTGAACGTGGATGCATGGGTTAGCCATGTTCCATTGTCGCCTGAAAGGCCTAAAAAAGAGCTAGAACAGGAGTTTAGTGGTCCTGTGATAGGTAGGGTTGGTTGGGCGGAGCTCCCGGACGCCGACCCGCCCCGCACGCTGCCAATCGGGGAGTGGATGAAAGATGAGTTAAACTGATGTTAAGAGAAGAAAAACCATTTTTTAAATCTTTTTGGTATGTATCGCGCGAAGCGCGGGCGAGGAATCCTCCTTATTTTTCGGATATGTTGGACCCTTGCTCTCAGAAGAATGACAGGACTAGAGTAAAGAACGTGAGTAAAGTGCATAGAATTCAGTGCGGTGACGTGAAGAAAGGGAAGGGGCTATCCCTATCGGCCAATGATAATCAAAGGCACTCAGCTAGAGTGGCAAGCCAACCAACAGAGAACACATAACTGAAGAGTAAGAGTGTCGTGGTCAACAACTCCTTACCTAGCCTGTACTAAACTTAATTTTTGTCGAAGTCAAAGTGCTGCCAGCAAGCTCTATGCTTAGCTTCAGGTAGATAGAGCCGTTCCCCGGCGTGCATCGGGTCACTTCTCCTAAAGTGTCCTCCCCCCCTCACGTTCCCAAAACGATCGAGTACCTCCATTCTCGGAGAGGTAAGAAAGTCTCGGAGGCGAGTGGGTAGGTGTTCAGTGAAGACGAGGTGACGGACTAAGCGGGACTCTTGATCAATAGACCGCTCATGGCTCAGATCCTTATTTATAAATTAAGGATAAGATACTTACAGTAAAGTAATTAATTTAATAAAATGTGGGTGAGCATAAGCCATTGGGTCAGTCGGTCACTACGGCTTATGCTCACCCGAAATATCGTAGAAGAAGAAGTATTTATGTTGTTTTTCAAAACAACTTCCGGCAACACCCTCTGTCGCCGTTACAGAAAGGCTCCCTTCCCTTTTTGCAAAGAGAGATCGAAGACGCAGGCATCAACGAATGCAAACAGGTAGAACGCCCACGGCTTCGAGATAAGGAGTTCAAAAAAAAAATTCCGTTCCGTCAGGTGCGCGTGCTAGACACTTTAAGATAATATGTTAGTCTTGTGTGCGATAGGATGTCCTGTGCCCGAGACGCACAAGGTATACTGGTTTCTGAAAGGCCTAGGCCCAAACTAACAGACTTTCGTCATCACCATCATGGCAAAACATCTGATACCCTCTCTCAAGGAGATTATTCCCCAATTTCCGAGTAACACTTCTTCAGTCCTACTCTCCTCGTTCTCTTGAGATAGCATGCCAAGTGAAGAGGATCCTCAGGCAAGCATAATGGATGAGTCGCAGCCCTCAACAGGTTCATATCCAGGCCATCAGACAAGTGTCGACCTCTTTTTCAGCTCCTGAAGAAGAATACCACATTCGAGTGGACGTCTGACTGCGAAGAAGCCTTTCAACCCCTCAAAAAAGACCTCGGCAAGACCGACCTGCCCGGAAGAGTAGCAAAGTGGGCAGTTCAGCTAGGCGAGTTCGACATTCGATACGAACCACGAACAGCAGAAAAAGGTCAAGCACTAGCCAGCTTCCTGGCAGATTTCCCTGTAGAATCAGACATTGGGGGCGACTATTCCATAGATGACGAGCCGACCTCTATGGCCAACGTAGAGAAAAGAACTCCAGACAAGCTCACCTCAGAGGTGAGAACCGAACAAATTGAAGATTATCCCAGACCTGGCTACTGGGGGCGGCCTCCAAGACCTGTTTGCTCAGAGTTCGGGGTGGAGATTGTTCGTTGATGGCTCGTCGAATGAAAGCGGATCTGGTATCGGTATTGTTCTGGTAACACCAGAAAACGCTAAGATCGAGAAAGCCGTAAAGCTGGGCTTGGAGGCCTAAAACAACGAGGCCGAGTACAAAGAAAGCGGTCATCTCCGGATTATTACATTTATTCCGTGTAGTCAGGCTTTGGATCTATCTAGATCCGGCATCCTAGTATAGTATACAGCAATTTGTCAACCAGCTATCAGGAACCTTCCGGGCGAAGCATGAACGAATGGCTACCTGAGCTGGACTCGGCAGTAGAAGAACTCGCTCCAATGCAGCATTCGAGGGAAGGGGGCACCCTTTAAGAAAGAGCTTCCGAGAATTCATTACTCGTTGCAGCTACAGCCGTAGCCTATTCGTTAACTGGATCTCCTACCTCCACTTTTAGGGAAGGTTGTATTGAGGGCACCACACTTAAGAAAAGAGCATATGACTTCCTTAGCGTTTCACACTAAGCTCTTCGATCCTTAGCGCAAGCAAGCACTAAGCAAGTAAACTACCTTTGAGGAGAAGCCTCTTTTGTTTTTAGACTACCCATTCAGCCTTAACGCACCAATGGCTAAGAAGGGTACGTACCATAAGGTCTACTTCTTTTTGGGAAAGAAGGACTAAAAGCCAACCCTTATGCTACACATAAGCCTTATCCACGCCAACCCTGATGCAAGCCGTCTCTACTACCTTTACTTAGATAAGTCAAGCCCTTTCCGCTACCGATAGCAGCTCCCGCTGACCTTCACTTACTAGAAGTTCCGAGCCCTTAACTAATACTTAGTTAAGCCCTAAAGCCCTCCTTCTTACTTAGTTAAGCCCTAAAGCCCTCCTTCTTATAAGAAGAAGCCCGTAACACCCTCTTTCAGTACTCCCACCGGGATAGGAGGAGATGATGTTTAAGCTATCCCACCGTCCGAGTAAACTATCTCTTATAATCAGCCTGGAACTAGAGCATCCGCCTTCTGCTACTGCTATCACATCTTCCTTCTAGTTCTGATCGTAGACAACCCTGGAAAAAACCTTATCTTCTAATCAGCCTTCTAGTTGACAACCCTGGAACTCTCACTGAAGCCTTCAACCCGGTCAGTCTTAACGGGAAGATTGAAGTTCTCTATTAGCTAGGCTGGGGGAGGACCCCCAAACCCCCCCTGATGGTACCCTCGAGTCTCACTACTGATATTACCTTCTTGCTTATCCTCTCCTCTTCTTCTGCTAGACATCATTGAGCACTCCCGGATGTAACACATATGCCTTCTCGTAGAGCACTCCCAGAAGCTACCCTGAAGCCCGATCGTTCTGATCTACGACCAACCCTTCTCCGCAAATAAGACTTTTGAGTACCGGGGCGGGGAAAGACATTGCTTACTCAGCGAGAAACAAATGTCAACAGGGTGCGAAACCTTGGAATAATAAAGTAAGTAGTGGGGCTGTGGTTGGTTCGATTCTCATTGATGGCACCGCAGGGGAGGTGTTAATTTCATACGTATGCTGCATGCAATTCGATTCATTTTCCAATCCATTAACAGAGAAAAAAATAGAAAGTGGTCCTTCGACATTTTCTTACGTATGCAGTCATCGAGTACTGTAAGCCATTGACAGAAAATATTTTGGATCTCAGTCCACCCGTGGCACATGAATGCCAAAGTAGATTAGTTGGTTTCCGGCTGGCTTACGTCCTAGCCGTAGGGCTTCGACTCCCCCATGATATGAGACAGCCTCTTCTTCGTAATCAAGCCGGGGCAAAGGTGGGCTACACGATCCGGCTTCAGGGTAGCATCAGGGTAACGAAGTAGCTCGACTGAAAGGAGAGGGAGGGGCGCAGAGAGGTTCTTAGAGGAGGCGATCTTTAGGCATGCACCGGTTCCGAAATTGCGTCCGGTGCCTTTCCCCCCTTTTTTCATCGAGAGGGGGCTTGAGGGACTCTGCAAATAAAGGTCAGGCAACCGCTTAGGTTGTGTTGGCTTCAATCCAATAAGCGAGGCCTCGCTATGAGAACTGATGAGCGTTTAACCGGATTTTTTTTACAAGTGCTGCCTGCCGGACTAGGATGGAAGGGAGAAAAACCTAGAAGCTTTCTTGGATTAAGAAGGCACGGATGAAAGATCAGAGGCTAAGGCCAGGCGAGTAGCAGACGGAGATGAGTTTAGTCACACTGATGGGAGAGCGAAAGTGGTAGTCCTCTCTCACTTAATCAATGCCCGGGGGCCAAGCGCTTACTGGCTGGCGGACAAGCAGTAATAAAAACCTCCACAGCCTTAGCTTAGTTTCGGGTTCGATTTCTTATGCAGTTAGGAGTGGGGCGTGCTAGCGGGAAGTCCGGTTATGAACATATATCAATCCCTCAAAAAACCTTTCTTCCATCGTGTGGTTGTCTGAGCCAAGGGGATCTGGTGTCGGTGGAAAGGAATCCTCTCATCTAGAGACCGGGGCGAGGGATCATGGACCTAAATAGTTGGACGAATGCTGACTCGCTGTCTAGCTCACAGAGAGGGCTTTCTTTAAACGAGGGGAAGGCTTTTTAGGTATAGGGAGGGGTGGTTTCCGAACGAGAGCCTTTATCTTTTTCCGGGGGTGCGGGTCCTGGTCATCGCTGCCCCCTGATGCCAATAGCTGTCTCGGGGAGTTGAGTTGGGGGCTTTCTCTTCTGGTTGCTTCTGGGTCTGGTCTAAGGTTGGTTCTAAGGCTGGTTTGGAACCCTTCCCTTGAACAGGAGCTTCAGCTTAAGTAGCCGCTGGTGTCGAAGCTGAAACTGCAGGATCTGTTGTAGACGCAGGAGCTTGTCTCGTCCGCTACTATCCCTCTGATGATCGATGTTGGGTATTTTACAATTTGCTTTATTACATTATCATTATATAGGCTCGCCCCAGTTCGCTATTCTTGTGATTCCGAATGCTAGCTGGTGGGCTTTCAAAGGTATGGGACGATCAGGATGGCTTGGTCCAGCTCCCTTTAATCTTTAGATCAATCATATGCCCTCCCCAACCTTTTCTATCTAGTAGGGCGATGTCTGACCCGGTCCTGTTCGTGTTAGAGTGCTCTTATCCTATCAAGCTTGGTTTCAATGGCTTCCGTGGATCGCTCTTTCTATCGTTATCAATGGAATGCCCCTATTAGTAAAGCTTATGGGTTGCTATTGCGCTTCCCGTTCCCTTGTGTCATGATGGTTTACGGGCGAGTGACTCTTCCTTCACGAGCTCTGACACCAAGCATTCAATTCAATAAAGAAGTTCATAGAATGAAGGGGATTCTTTATCTTGTTTTACTCGTTCTTATGTTGTGTTGACTTTCGAAGGGGAGACAGAGACGGAGATGACGGAGACGAATGTGAGGCCTAGACCATAAGCTAAGGTCAATCGAGTGCGCCCGGAATGACGAGTTCAAAAGCCAGGTTCAGTAGACCGATCAACTAACGCTTCTGTTGGATGTTGGGAAGCCCCACTGGTTAAGTTAACGAACGTATAGAAAGATGATATATATGTTTTCTTTTATGAATAAATCGATCTGGCTTACGGGCAGGGTGGATAACTGACGAGTGTGCTTTCTTTCTTTTGTTTGCCCGCCCAGAGAGAGGGGATCCTGCTCCTGATCCAGTGGTGGTTCCTGGTGAATAAAAATGCCCTTCCCTAAGACGAGCTCACTGGGGAAAGACTGAGCATCCGCTTGTCCTCCAGTTTCAGGTCTTCCTTATGCAGGTTATGAATTCAAGGTAGAGGGTTCGAAGAAGAGAGGAAGACTTTAAAAGTGAATCACACTGAACTTCCACGTCATTTCACAGATAAGGCAAGCACTAGAGGTTCTGAAAGGGGAGGACGAGGCGGGTCATTTTCTCGGTCGGTGTTGAATCATCTTACTTCTGTCCGGGATCCAAGGACGGAAAGAAGGACTAAAAGCCAACCCTTATGCTACACATAAGCCTTATCCACGCCAACCTTGCTTTAGGAAAAGATGGAAGAGAAGA